GCGAAGCAGCCTGTCCGCTGCCAGAAGCAACGACACTGCCGTCGCTGGCGTAGCCCTCGTCGCTGACGCTCTCGTCCTCGTCGTCGCTAGTGTCGGGGGTCTGGGTCAGAGCATCGTAATCGACCAGCATGTAGATGGGGATGGCGCCAATGATGGCAGTGAGCGCCAGGAACCAGTACGCGGTGATCATATAGCCTCTGGCGACACCCCAGCTGAAGGCAGCTCCGGCGACGGCGGGACCGAAAGCACGGCCGAACCCGCTGAACATGGTGGCGAAGCCGTTGAGAGTACCCAGGATACGGAGCGAAGAGGCCGAGTTGGTCAGAAGAATGGTCATGCAGGGAAAGCCAATGATGACGGCACAGGCTTTGACGAACATGACGATCAAGAGAGCGGTGTAGCGTCCAGCAGTGCTTTCAAAGAGGACTACGTAGGGGGCCACAATGTAAACGACGGGGAAAGTCACGGCTTTTCAATTTGTCAGCTTTTCAACCCAATATCCATAGGAAAATATGATATACGCACCGCATGCGCGGAAACTGCGCAGGACACCAAAGTAGTTGCACAGAGGCGGGAAGACGAAGAACTGGATCACGCCGCAAGTGATACCATAGATGGTGAAAATGGTACCGATACGGCCAGAATCGAGGCCAAAGCCACCAGAAAATTGGAAGGGCAGGTTCGTGTTTTCCGGGGTGTGCTCCTGCTTAGGGTAGTTCAGGAACACTGGGAGAACCTGGTCAAATGCCACAGAGTGGAGAGCGAGGAAGGTATAGCAAAGCAAGTTTATACTCGTCTGGGAAGTGAAGACCTCCTTCATGCTGGGTGCCTCCAAGGCCTTGTTGTCCTCGACCGGGTGGGCTGGGGGAGTCTTGTGAGGCACCAGAGGTGCGGTAGCCTCGCCGTCAACAAACGAGGTGCGTCTGGCTCTAGCATGGTGGTGGTGGTGAGAACGAGAGCGGCGTAATGAGCGGGTGATGCGCTCGCCCATCAGGAGACCCCAGTCGGGCTTGTGGCGCTTGCTTTCCAGCGTCTCCTTAAGGAAAAGAGTGGCGGTCGTGACAGAGATAAAGAAGAAGACCGCAGCGATGAAGTTCGGCAGGGCAAATGGATACGCCTTGAAGAACCAGCTGTTGCCGAAGACGGCGGGGAAGCGGTCGGCAGGCCTGGCGAAGAAGCCGCCAAATGCCGGGCCGAAAATTGAGCCAACGGACCAGATGAGAGGCATAATCGAAAACGCGCGGGGTTGCAGTTCCTTTTCTGGCACCATCTCTGCGACCATGGTGCGAATAATGCCAACTACAAGATTGTCAGCACCAAACGTGGACATACAGATTAGGAAGCATACCATTTCCGTTTCCACTTCCGAGGATGGCTCGCACAGTGATTGCCATGGGCAGACTTGTTGACACACCCCAGACACAGAAAAAGAACATTGTCGATAGGAGACCGACGATGATGGTTGGCTTTCTTCCAAATCTATCGGAAGCTCTACCCCATGGCACTGCTGTTACACTCTGAGAGAGGGAGAACACGGCGGACGTGATACCGGCCCATTTTGCGACATCGTTCTGTTCAACGCCGAAACTGCGAATCATCTCGGGGAGGTATGGGAAGACGGAAGTGAGGGCGAGAGGCTCCGCGAATCGCGCAACGGCTGTAATCGAATTAGCACCGGAATCTGGAAGGAACGACGGGTGCCTCTCTAATGTATCAGAGGGCACCCTGAGCCGAGTTGATGTCAAATCTGCGTCCTACAGTCCACCTTTGTACATGCTGGACCGCCTTGGGCTAGATGACGTTGTCGGCCTCATCGGTTCACATTGATCAGGCAGCTTGGAAGATCAAGACCATGCTAAAGTCGCATTTCGAGGTTGGTTTGGAGTACGTGTGTCTAAAGACAAGATGGCGGCAATATGGCGAGAACAGGCAAATTTCCCTCCGTCCATACTCTCGTAGTCCAGCAAGGCGATTCCAAGACAAGCACGATTCGTACTATCGGATTTGTTGAAAGCGCAGTTCAAGAAAAAGCAAGCGCTTGACAAGTTCTGAAATGTGAGGTTGCCTTACCCAGAATGGCCAGCTGCTTCGCGGGCAACTTTGGCTTTGTCGGTTTCGTCATTTTGGCACTCGAGGGAGAAAACAAGTCGCGCTGAGAATATCCGAATTCTACGGTTCGGGATTTGCGAGGTCGAAGTTCTTCGACGTCGACTTCAAGAGGTCTAAAGCAAATGAATCGGGACTAGGACGTGAAGCAAGCAACAGTCTAGGTGGGAAAAGCAGCGGGGTAGTATGATGCGCTCTGCTGTGCGACTTGGCAACAAGATGTCAAAGGGCAAAGACAAAGGCAAGGAGTATGAACCCGGAGGCGACCACTGCCTTCTTTAAACCAAAAGGAAAGTTTATTGGAGAATTGGGGAAGGAGAAAAAAAAAAAGAGTCACAAGAGCAGTGGCAGCGGAAGGCGAAGAAAAAAGACGGTTCGTCAAGCGCAAACAAAAAACCAACGGCATTGATCCACTTTCCAGCTGCAGGCTTGCGGCTGCACTGCGCTGGACAGGGAATAGCGTGGGTAACTGGGTATGCAAATTCATGGAACCGCAGTCACCCCCCCCCCCCCCCCCCCCCAGTTCTTGCAGTTCCTTAGTAGAATCCCCGTGAAGGGTGCAATGAGCCGGCGTCGACGGGGACCAGACTCGGTTTTTCCTCCCCCCCATCCATGATCCTGCGCCGATCCCCGCTCTCTCTGCTGACGGAAGATTTCTAGTCGATTACTGGCCGACGGGGCTTCACTTTTGAAGGGGCCACGGGGCTAACCACCGCGAATTGGGGATCGGGGCCTTAGATGGCCATGCCTCCCGGGGATTAGATGGAGACTTGAAAGATGGGAATTCCCGCTTGCCGTAGGACTGGGCTTGGCAAGGCATATCAGCGCTAGAGGTTTGGGGAGAACAACTTGCGATAACCTAGCGCAGGCTGCTTGCGCATCAGCTTTGCCATGAGGGATAAGTGCGTGACGGTGACGACGGCAAGCGAAGACGAGCGAGCGCGAGACGCGAGCCAAAAAAAAAGGTGGCCAACGAAGTGCCTGTTGTATTGCGGTGATAGAACAAGATGGGATGACCGCGGACGTCGAGTGTCTCGGAAACGATCAAGTGCTATTACCTAGGGGACGCTGGTTCGGCTTGAGCGGTGCCCCGTGTCTCTCTCATTCTCGGCTTGAGACTTGTCCAAGGAGTAATGCGCTCGCCCGCCTACTCGCTGCGAGCGGGCTACATCGCATCTCCCTGTTGCTGAAGCGAAAGGACGTTGGCCCGGTCCAGGCGATACGGCGGCAGCGGGCGGGCGATCGGGCGGGTACTGGGTAGTGGCAGGGAACGTGGTTGACGGTAGGGGACAAGGCCGGCGTAATGCTTGAAAGACCGCAGGCAAAGGACGTCCGTTGTCGGCAGAGGCTTGGGAGCTGGAGTCGGTGAAGGTGTGAAAGATGCAACGGCTTGCACGGGCACGAAAAAGGGCAGGGGTTCTCGCTGTAGCCGGTGGTGCAGCCGAAAAAAGATGAGGGTGCCCGGTGGTGTTGGTAGTGGTGGTGGCGGTACCGTGGTGGTGCTCCTCCAAGGCCGCCTCAAAACTGAAAAAGATGGAACGAAAAAAAGTCGATAAAATTGCTGGAGCGCAAGGTCAAAAGGTCGCCCTCCCCGCAATTGCCATGACGTCCAGTCTTTGCCGGTGGGGGGCCTCTTTTCCCGGCGGCGTTAGGCCGACTTGGCCGAAGCCGGGGCCGAACGTCGGGGCAAGTGCGACAATGCTGAATAATCATCACGAGCCGACTGGACAGGGGTGATCCTCTGCTTTCAGCGCCAGCGAAGCACTTGAGGCATGAATCCAAACATGCCTATCCCAAGACAAGCTGTGAGACAACACACCGCCATACGAGAGAGACACTATAGAAAATCAAAGGCGGACATGTCTGATATACTTTGTACTTGAGCTGCGGTGCAGGAAGGCAGATTCGGAGAGTGGTGGTTGGTCGGCAGGCAGCGTATCCGGACTGGAAAGAACTGATTGGGCGACATCCACCCAATCAATTGCGTGATCACCGACGTTAGCCGATGCACGCAGCCACCGGAAAGAGGGCGTCTCTTGACTCGAATCCAAGACAGGCGGCAAAGGCGCCCTTTAGTCTGTAGCCAAAAGCTTATATAAGATGATGTAACATGTTGACCTTGACGACTGATCAAATGTCTAACTGTCTGAGCTTCGGTCTGCGCAGCTAACAGCGACGGTCGATGCGGCGTCACGGGACGGGATGCTGGGGCCGTCGATGCAATTGTGGAATTCGAATCGAACCGGAAAGACTTCCGTATCCTCCTTGAGAAAATTGTTATCGCTGCCTATCTTGATTCCAGGCCTTTCCAAACGTCGGCACCGGGACGCCGATGACCCGCTCTCGTTCCCCCCTCGTCTGAACCCCCGAATCAGGAAGGAGACCCAGCGTTCAGCAAGAGCTGTTCAATCACGTTTGCGGGTGCCAGTGCCAGTGGAGGATTCACCAGGCGGCGACAGCCGATCGGCAGAATCACCACTGATGCTGATAACATCGACGAAGCACGCAATGCTCATGGCAACTTCAACTCTGTTTCAACTACATCTCTGGTAAAAAGGCGCAGAGACAATTGTTGACGAAGGCTTCGGATTTCGTTTTGCAAGATGGCGCTAGAGTAAGTCGATCTCTCCTGTTGCTGCCTTGAAGCCATTGTCCTTGTGAGCAAGCTACATTGAGCTTAATGAGAGCTTACCACAGCTTAGTGTGGCTGGCGGCGACGGGATGATGCAACCGTCTTCGTCAGCCACACGTGCTCCCGCGTCTCATCCTCCTGCCTACATCACATCACTCGCCTCATCGTTGGATCGCACGTCGATGAGCTCCCAACGTAGAGTGCGAGCATGCTTTTGATACATTCACGCTGACTCTAACTCAGAAAGCGTTTCGACGACAAAATGTCTAATGAGCGGACGCCGCTTATCACCAATGTCTATATTGGTGCGCCGCGTCGCAGGTACCCGAACCATGTCCTGCGCCGGTTCTGCACCGTTGCACTCTCTTCCATCCTCATCTTCTGGTCCATCTTCTTCGTAGTTGCGCTCTTCATCGATGAGCCTCCCCGTCACCACGGTCACCACCATCACGGCTGGACCTGGACGAACAGCGTCAACAGCGCCCCCATTACTCATGAGGAGGTGCAAAAGATCCTCTTTGAGGTCCCCTCTTCTGAAAAGGCCGAAGAATGGAGCAGATATTACACTGCTGGCCCCCATCTGGCGGGCCAGAACTACTCTCAGGTAAACCCATCACAGTAGATATCAAGGGAGTACCATCTTACAGTGTGTGACAGGCTGCATGGACCAAGGAAAAGTGGGAATCGTGGGGTGTGCAATCGGAAATCGTGTCATACGACGTCTACCTGAACTACCCCATCGACCATGGCCTCTCCCTACTCTCCAAGACCAAGGAAGAGGAGTCTACCTGGACGGTAGAGTTCAAGGCTGCTCTTGAGGAGGACGTCCTCGAAGAAGACCCCTCCTCCGGCCTGGAGGACAGAGTCCCGACTTTCCACGGCTACTCCGCCAGCGGCAACGTCACCGGATCCTTCGTCTTTGTCAACTACGGCACGTACCAGGACTACGAAGACCTCATCAAGGCCAATGTCAGCCTCGAGGGCAAGATCGTCATCGCCAAGTACGGCGGCATCTTCCGCGGCCTTAAGATCAAGCGCGCCCAGGAGCTGGGCGCCATCGGCGCTCTTCTCTACAGCGACCCCGGCGATGACGGCAAGGTGACCGAGGAGAACGGGTACGAGGCGTACCCCAACGGCCCTGCTCGTCATCCCAGCGCCGTTCAGCGCGGAAGCGCTCAGTTCCTCTCCCAGCGCCCCGGTGACCCGTCGACCCCCGGCTACCCCTCCAAGCCCGGCGCGCCGCGTGCTCCCGTCGACGATGCGACGCCGTCTATTCCCTCCATCCCCATCTCTTATGCCGATGCTCTTCCCATTCTGAAGGCTCTCAACGGCCACGGTCCCTCTGTCAAGGACTTCAACAAGTACTGGAACAGGAACCTGGGACTCAAGTACAAGGGCGTAGAGTACAACATCGGTCCCACCCCCGACAACGTGGTCCTCAACCTCTACAACGAGCAAAACTACACCACCACGCCACTGTGGAACGTCATCGGTATTGTCAACGGCACCATCCCCAACGAGGTCGTCGTAGTCGGAAACCACCGCGATGCATGGATTGCCGGTGGCGCCGGCGACCCCAACAGCGGCTCCGCCGTCCTAAACGAAGTCATCCGCGGCGTCGGCGTCGCCCTCGCCAGCGGCTGGAAGCCCACCCGCACCATCGTCTTCGCCAGCTGGGACGGCGAAGAGTACTCTCTGATCGGCAGCACCGAGTGGGTGGAAGAATACCTCCCCTGGCTCACCGAGGCCTCAGTCGCCTACGTCAACGTCGACGTCGGCGTCCGCGGCCCCAACTTCAACCCCTCCGCCGCGCCCCTCCTCCACCGCGTCCTCCGCGAGGTCACCCAGCTCGTCCCGTCCCCGAACCAGACCGTCCCCGGGCAGACCGTCGCCGACGTCTGGGACGGCCGCATCAGCACCATGGGCTCCGGCTCCGACTTCACCGCCTTCCAGGATTTCGCGGGCATCCCTTCCCTCGACTTTGGCTTCGGCGGCGAGAACGAGGACGTCGTGTACCAGTACCACTCCAACTACGACTCCTTCCACTGGATGAAGGAGTTTGGCGACCCAGGCTTCGTCTACCACCGCACAATGGCCCAGATCCTCGGCCTCGTCGTCGCAGAGCTCGCCAACGTGCCCGTCATCCGCTTCAACGCCACCGACTACGCCGACGCGCTGACGGGCTACGTCGACCAGGTCGAGTCCAAGCTCGCCGCCGTCGAGACCTCGGACTCTGTCTTGGAGGAGGACTCTGACGAGGAGGCCCTCTTCCGCATGCGCGCCAGCATCGCTGTCGCCGACGCAGACGCAAAGGGCTCCCTCTCGCAGTTCCGCACCTCCCTCCAGATCCTCCGCACCTCCATCGCCGCCCTGCGCGAGAAGACGGTGGTCCTCGACTCCACGGCCGGCACTGTCGACTGGGAGCTCAAGTACGGCAGCATCCCCTGGTGGAACCTGTACCGCAAGATCAAGCTCGCCCTGGCTTTCGTCTGGGTCAACAGGTCCTACAAGGGCTTCGAGCGCAACTTTTTGTACCCCGGCGGCCTGGATGGTCGGACCTGGTTCAAGCACGTTGTCTTTGCGCCTGGTTTGTGGACTGGGTACTCTGGAGGTTAGTTTAATTTTCTTCTTCCTCCCCCGTGGCGGTTTCCCACCCTACTTTACGTTTTATTGAGTTAAATGCTAACATATATGATTCAGCCGTCTTCCCTGGTCTCCAGGAGAGCATCGACGCCAAGGACTTCAACAACGCGCTCAAGTGGACCGGCATCATCAACGAGTGCATCGCCTCCGCCACCAAGAGCCTCTGAACCCAGGGCCTAGACTACAAAACTAGCCTACGTGCTACAATCCACACAGTACTCAGCAATAAATACCTCCTATAGTTAAACAAGTGATCAAAACAAATCATTTTCGTATTATAAATTTGCCTTCTTGTAGTGATGCCAAGCTTCCCAGCTACCGGCTAGGCATCATGTACAATATCATTATTGAAAGGTCACCGAGGAAAAGAAAAAGAGAGAAAAAAAAAAGAGTTCACCACCGGTGTGGCTACTTCTCTTGGTGCTCATGCTGGGAATCGAGCTCGAACTCGTAGCCTGTCGTCGAGTAGGTTGTAGGTAGGCGTACTTAATTGTCAACCATAGACCACTCCACCACCCAGCCAGTTTGACCTGACCCGTCGACCTAGACGGGCGCCTCCTGGCTGGTGACAGGAATGGCGTTGAGGGGGTATATATAGGGTAGGTGTACCTTACTTAGGCAGGAACTGGAGGGGAGGGGCATGTGAGTCTTCAGTTGCGTATACGTCAAATCGAGGGATGGACCATTAGCATGATTCATCGGACCAAGTAGATTTTCCTCCCGAGACCCCACTGGTAGCCCTTTACTCAAAGTGACGTGCGCAAACCGCCAGCATTCATTTAGGAATCTATGCGTCTATCGCCTCGACTATTCATACAACAAGAAAATTTCCCCGTCGACGCTCTCCACATGGCCCCCCTTTTATACAAAAAGGCAACGACTCTAGAACTTGTAGACCTGGTCAGGAGCGTATCCCAACTCCTTGAGAACACCAACAAGCTCGCCCTGGTCCTTGGGACTCTTCTTGTTTCCAGAAACAGCATTCATCAACCCAGGCGGGCCACACACAAACACCTTGATGTTCTCGCTCTTGGGCTCGGGGAGAACCTGCTTCAGCAGCTCCTTGGTAATGAACCCCTTGTTGCCGCTCCACTCCTTGGGCGGCTTGTCGAGCACGTAAAAGGCGCGGAAGCGCTGCGGGTACGTGTTCTCGAGCTCGGCGAGCTCCTTCTTGAGCAGGATATCCTCCTCCGTCACGTTGCCAAAGACGAGCGTCACCTTGGTCTTGTCGTCCGGGTTGTTGAAGATGGCGCGCGCGAGCTGGTACATGGGCGTGATGCCCGTGCCGCCGGCGACGAGGGCAATGTGCTCGTGCTTGTTGGGGGACCAGGCGTATTTGGGGAGGGGGCCCTTGAAGTCGAGGCGCTGGCCGGGGGTCATGTCGTGCATGTGCGTCGACATGGGGCCGTTGGGGTACTTCTTGACGATGAGCTCGAGGTAGCCCTTGGTGTCTTGTCATGTTGTTAGTCTCGGGGCCTTTTCTTCACCTTGCTGTTCGCTAGTGCCATCAAGCAGTTCATCACTCCTCAGAGAGAAAGCGTAGCGGACGAAAAAACAGAGCAGGGAAAACAACTAACCCTCGTCGCTGGTAGGGGTATAAGGCCTCAAGGTAGCCTTCTCGTCCTCGGGACCCTTGTACTTGGTCAAGATGGCGCTCGCGACGTCCAGACCAGAAATCATGTCGTCCTCGGGCAGCTTGAAGCGGAGCTTCTTGGTGTTGTGGTTGATAATCTCGGTATCCTCGAGCTTCAGCGACACGAAGCCCTGGTCGCCGCCCGTGAGCGCCTTCTTGGGCGCCGCGCCGACGGCTTCCTTGACCTTGGCCTCGGCCTTTTGCGCCGCGCTAGCGGAGGAGCCCCCGGCGAGGAAGTAGTAGGCGCCGCCCGCGACGGCGGCGGCACCGCCGGCGTAGAGCGCCGTGTTGGAGCTGCTGCCCTTGGCGGCGGGCTCGGTGGCGTAGCGGCGGGCTTGCTATTTACCGGGGAGAATACGTTAGCCTTTGCGGTGCTTCATCACTTTGAGAGGATAGATCGGGAATCATTGTTGCGTTTCGAGATCAAGGGGCCAAGATGAGGTTGTAATGTTGACGTTTGGTGGTATGATGTAGTCCAAGGGGGGATCGCAACTCGGGAAACTCTCCGCGGTCCGCGGGGGAAAAGAGGATTTCCAATGAGCGAGGGAGTGAGAGAGAAAGGGAACGGCGTCATCAATCGCTATCTTACCAGCTTGAGGGGCTGCGCGGCCCTGAAGGCAGTTCGGGCAAACATTGTGATGGTTCAATTGGGTCGGCAGAGGTAATTGACTGCGTTCACAGGTGTTTGATTGGAAAATGGACTAAAGGGTGTTTTTTCTGCTGGGAGAAGCTTAGGTATCCGAGACTCGCAACAGAGCTCGAAGCCAGCCCGCAATGGAAAGCTTTCCCCGGCGACCATTGACCTGTGCATGACGTAAAATGTCACGTGAGCTCGTCTTCCCCCTTGTCCGATCCCCGCCGAGTTGACCGAATGGAAGGCACAGTAAGCGGCCAGCCGGTGGGAAGCCGGTGGGAATACCCGATGTGCATTTCTAAGCAGAACCAACAACGTGCTCAAAGAGGCGCATTGCGAATTGCGCCATACCATTGCGGTCATTGATGAGGTACCATCGGCCGCAGTCGTTGACAAGAATCAGCCCTACTGAATCTTGGTCATGGTTTGGACAACCACGTATTCAGATCCACAAAGCACAATCGACTAGGGTTATCATGCCGAAGAAACCTTTCTTTGACGTTTCCCCAAGAGGAGAAAGTAGGGGATCACCCTGATTATTATATACAAGCCAACAGCTTCAATCGCTGTGGACTTAAAGATACGGTAGAACTCCACCCCCATCATCAAAGGGGATCTGACGTAGTCCCGGGCATTCAATGGCGAAGCATGCCGTCTTTCATCCTCGTTTTTGAACTCTGATGCGTCCCTCCATCGGGGGGCCCTTGATCATAATGTTTTCCATCATCCAAGCAACATGCTGAAAGCGACCGACCAGGGGCTCCTCTCTCTTTATGTCTCCCGAAAAATAACAACTATACGCCTCTTGATCGTCAAACCGAAACCAGAAACGCTCCTCCCAAACGTTCCTCATAGTACATGATTCGTGACAGGTCCCCAGAGGAGAAGGGAACCTGCCAAGCAACAAGAAGCCTAAACTCTCAGGTCCGACGCGAGTGAATGCTTCTTGATCATCCCTCATCACCGCTCAGTGTCCATGGCATCGGGGTCTGCAGGCTTCTCGGTAGGGTTTGTTGCTTTGGGTGTGCTAGATCGGTCGACTAGCGTGCTCTCTGTGATTGCCTCCGTCAAGGGGCTCACTTGGGAATCCGTCTTTTTCGCCCCAGTGTCCTGACTGCCTCGGCGCATCATGCCGATATCCTGGTGAGAAGCTAGAGTTGGTGTGTTGGCCTGGCTGCCACCTCTTTGGCCGTGGTAATGCACAACTTGCGGAGGGGGTTGGCCGGATTGGAGACCAAGCTGCTGTGTTGGGTACGGGTCCAAGTCTTTGCTGGACGTGGAGAATGTCGAGACCACGGGTTGGTGGTACCCGTTGGAAGAGGATTGGCTACCGGTCGGCGTATGACCTTGGGGATGGTGCTCTGCTTGCGTCGGTGTTCCAACATCATTTGGGGACGTAGAGCCCTCACCAAGATTACCGGTAAGACTGTTCATTCCGCCCTCTATATCTCGCAGCAGACGAACGTATTCCTCAGGGACGAGTCCGCTCTCCTGAGTTTTCGGGTCTTCAGCCACTAGCCAGCCTTGGCCGTGGCGGTAGGAAACCCATATAATTTGACCTTCCAGCAACGGCAATTCGTTCTCGTTTTCTCTTTCAAAGTCAAAAAGCGCAACGGCTTTGCCGTGCATTTCTTCGTCGGGCGACGTAATGGTGAACTGGTAGTCCCGGGAGTATCGTGACTGGTCGTCACCGCGGAAACCTGGAGAGGATGCGGAGCTTGAAGCATCTGAATATGTTTCCTGCTCGGCGTACTGCCGCGGGGCCAGGTCACCTAGCTGGTATGCGTGACTGGAATGTCGTGCATCGCCGGGAGGGTAGGTGACATATTCTCCGCCGGGTCCATTCGCTTCCCCTCCTTGGTTCAGGTAGTATCGTTCGCTGCCATCACCACTAGTTCCGACGTAGAAACCACGTTCCCGTTGCTCGTAGTGTGCTGGATGCAGCATGTCGTTGCCCGCGTCGCGAGAATTTCTCAATCCTGCGGTTCCGCCAAGGGCTGCTGCGGAAGATTTGTGCTTTCGGTGCCTGGAGCTGACAACAGGGCTCGCCAAATCCTCATCCTCACTCCAGGGTGGGCCATCCCGGAACTCCATGGGTGGCAGGTCGTGGGCCTTGCCGAAGCCCTCGGGCCCCCAGGAGCCAGTATTCCAGGTCATTTTCGTTTCCCAGGCAGCGGGAGGATCGGAAAGACGACGAGACTCGCTGAGGGGAGTGTTAAGGCCAGAAGCAGGATGCGACGGCTCTGGCGGGGGACCATAGTGCATGGGATGCATAATCGGATATGCGAAATCGCGCACCAGGGTGTAGGAAAGGCTCGAGGGAAACATTGGAAATATGTGAGAAGGCGGTCGCGAACGCGAGGGGACTGAGCCCGTCGAGTACTGGGACAAGCGATTCTTGGAAGCGTGCGACATTGGTCTCGGTGCGGTCGAGCGACGGCTGGGTGGTGATGTTATTAGTGGCGGTAGTGAGGGGTGATTCGGGTTGGTGGAGGGAGAGGCAGCTGCAGGTGGGGATGTCGCGGGCGAGGAGCTCTGGGACAAGAGTGTGGTCATTCTGAGATTATCGCAATCGTTGAGGAGCCAGCGTAAGGATGACAGGCACCCGATTCGCGAATCCTACGGCGTCGTGTGCCACCAAGCAAGCCAAGTGCTCAGTAGGACCGTCGACCGCACTCGTCGCGCCGAAAATGAAGTAGGAATTCGATTGGCAAAAGCTAGGGTCGGGAGCCACCAAGGCAGTGAATTCGAGGGTTTGCGCAAGTGTTATCGTGAGTTATGCTGCGCGCGAGTCGGAGCGGGTTAGCCTATGCGTGCGGGCGGCGGGTAGACTTTGAGGATCGCAGTTCCGAGCGAGGCGAAGACGAACAGATTTGGGTTCGAAAAGAAGGCGGAGCAACAGCAAGCGGGCTTGCTCGCAAGGTGTCGCAAAACGAAAGTCGTCGCACGCGACGCTGAGGGTTGGAAATCGAATAAGGAGCGTTAAGAACTTAAGGCCGGGAGCGGGCGAGAGCGATGAGATCGGCTCGCGGGGTCGCTCGGGGGTAGGTAGGACAACAAGGAAGATGGAAGAAAGAAGAGCACGGGATGAGGAGATCGATGGGGAGGGAGGAGGGAAACGGTGGGAGGAAGAGGAGAAGATGGGAAGAAGAGGAAGAGAAGGGAAGGTGAGGTTGGGAATAGTTCGTTTAGGTTCAGGTCGCTGGCGCCGTTCTGGCTGCTCTGCTGCTTTGGTGCTGGGCAGCCGCTGCGCTGCGAAAAAAGAGAATGTCCCCGTCGCTTCTTTTGCTGGTGCCGCGCTGGTTGGTGGTGGGATTGCGAGGTAAGGTGCCAGCAGCAGGGGAGAGAGAAAAAAAAAGGTATACTGTAATATGCGTGCGCAAGGTAAAGGTACTCGAAGAGGAAGTCTCTTCGTCTGGTATGGAAAGGTATCCGTAGGTAAGGTAGGCCAGCAGGTAAGGTACACCGAAGACAACAAGCAAACAGTCAACAGAGCCCACGACGCATTCAAAGAGCTCAGGTAGAAGTGGCCGTGCCTTTCTTTGCTCGCACCAGACGAGGCAGCAGTGAGCACAGATGGGACTGGACTTTTGGACCGACCCACGCTGGAGTGTAAGGTAGGTGCGACTAATTCCCTTGGTACCTCAAGGTACGGACATATGTATCCAGCTACCTCTGGTGGCTGTCAAGGAATGACACGATCTCGAAGTACCGCAGCTGTGTACGGATACTTGGTCTTCGTAGAGTTTCTTCTGGTAGGACCAACTGGGTCAGTGAGTACCTTATGGAGAGGATAGCCAAGCCCAAGCAACACCAGAGTCTTTTTTTTCTAACGGTGGCACCAGGACGTGTGAGCGGACCACTTACCCCTTCCACTATCTCCAGCTACTTTTTGAGTTTGGATCGATCTTGGAGAGAGAGAGAGGGACGAAGAACAGACAGTGGGCATCGACCATTGACCATCAACCTCCAACGCACTGGGACTGCACCTTGCTGCTTCTAAGCGCGTCGCGCAGTGATCCTACTGGCTGTGTGCAGTTGGAGCTGGCGGGAAGGGGGGGTGAGGGGTGGTTGATGTTGATAGAGGGGGGCAGAGAAGGAGGGGGGACCGATGGGAGGGGAGGAGAGACAAAGGCCAGCACAACAGCGGGCGTGAGTACCTAAGAGAAGAGACCGATAGCGGTAGAGAGAGAGAGAGAGAGAGAGAGAGAGAGAGAGAGAGAGAGGGCAGGGTTGAGACTCTTGGGAGAGAACCTTGAAGAACCTTGATGAGAGTAAGAGGCTGATGACTTTCTAGTGAGATCCAACAGGTGGAGGAGAGGCCACAGGAAATTAACAATTGACACCAACAGGCGGGAACAAGAACAACGATAGCGCAGGATCCAGGAGTGCGTCAGGCAAGGCAAGGCATAGCCCAGGTGTGAGAGTGGGAGAGAGGGGAGGGGGCTGAATCCGGATCGATATTAATTATGGCGGCGAACTCTCAAAGAAACTCGAACACAGCAGCCAGCAGATGCCAGGACGAGGGAAGCCCCAAATCGGCCCCAAATCGAGTCAGCGCCAACAATCTGTGTCTCTTTCCAGGTTCCCGTCCTCTGCAATCGGCAGGCGTCAACTGACTGGATCTGTATCCATATCCGGTACCTTATGGAAGGAATGCTCTTTGCCCTTCTTTCTTCTCTATCACAGATACCCGTGGACCACTCTACAAGTACATACATACATACATACATACATTGCCTACGGCTGCCAACGTCAGGTCTGAACTGGAACGGTATATTCTCCGTCGTCCTCCACGCCCTCGTGGGTATCATATTCTGGAGACTTGCCAGGAAAACAGTAACAGCTCCATGCTCTTCAGATGCTGTGCAGCTCTTTACAGGGGTCTGTCCGGTCCAACATGGTAACGCCAAGACCACAACCCTCAGCACGCCCCAGTGCAACTTCAAGTACGTCTATTCGAGCCTTTCCCTCTGTCCACACATGCACTCAGTTGCTCACTTGTGCTGGCAGAGGACGGGGACTTCATGTCCCACGTCTGTGTACGAACACGCCCTTCCTCCGCCGCACAGAACTCAAGCTACCTTGGGCTGTCAGTGGGACTACAGACGAGGTACCTTGGTTTGTACTGCCTCATGTTCTTGCTGCTGTTCATCTCTGTTTGCAGCCATTGCCACAGCCCACAGACGGGTTCATCTTCCCGCCGTAATCTGCATATGTCTGGCAGCAGTCGGGGTGGCTTCAGCGTACCCGTCGTGCTCTAGCCTCCTATGGACCTACTGTTCGTTCATCAGGGAACTACAAAGTACTCATTACGCACTTCACAGTTCCCCTTTTTTCAACGGTCCCATCATCAACTCAAGGGGATCCCTTCGGCAGCCTCACATCGTCTTCCCTGTCGACGACTCTGCCTACGCGTTCGCCGCCGGTTCGGTTACAACACAGGAGCCTGACTGTACCGACCGACGCGCACACCAACGACGGGACGCTGAAGCTGGACCTCTTCCCCGCGTGGCCGTGTGCAGCCGCTTCGCACTGCTTCACATCCCACCCGCAAACACCCAATCGACTCCGTCGTCCGTTGTTCAGACTCTCACCCCCCTTCATTAGGCAAACCTGACACTGTGATGGCCGTCCGTCCGCGCGTTGGGGATGAATGACTTGATGCCTCCTCTTCTCCCTGGGAAGTCTCGCCTTCAGCTCAAACTTTATCCTCACAGAGCCGCCCGTGATCTCCGGTCTTGTCCAGCAGGAAGATGGTAAAGGACTGCTACCACCTCCGGCCCGACTTATCCATGGTATCCACTGTGTATTCCGGCCTACACGGAACGGACAAGGAGGCAGCAAACAGGGGGTCGTCCGAAACATCTGAATGGCGAGTGCTGGGTACGGATACATCTATCTGACCTGGAATCCTTTCCAGACGCTCGAGTTTTTGCCCACTCTTTCTCCGCGGCAACGGCCTAGAATCTTCACCAGATACAGAAGGAAGAAGGCTTCAAACAGGGCAAAAGCGGTGCCAGATGCTATTCTTGATCTTTGGCCGGGCTGTCATCAATAGAACCAATATTGGGTGCTCCAGCATTGGCCGGCGCATATTCCCGTTCAGGTCGCACCAAGGTCAGACAGCAGCCCGGCCCACAGCTGATTAGCGAGGACGTCCCCGGCGCAAATCACAAAGTATCCAGAAGCGGCCGTCCACTGACATGAGTCTCGCTTTTTAGTCCGAACCGTAACAGCGGGAATCTTTGAGTACATCTACTGGGGGCCTTGACTGACTGAGGAGGGGAGGGGGCTAATCGCTCGCTCGCTCGCTCATCCCATTATTGTTGCGCGAAGTTGCGAACAGACCTAGCGAAGCCAGAGCATGGCATCAACAGAAGATTGATAACTAAAATCACGTCGCGCTCATCTCATCGCGTTCGCTGAGCCCAAAGAACTTGGGCTTCAACACTCAAAACCTCTACAAGATGGTGCCGGGTGCTAGATCTGGGAAACCCCCAGTGAACGGACAGCCTGAAGCACAAACAGCAAGCTTCTGCTAGCCATGCGCTATCTCGTTAGCTGCATCTCCCGATCATCAGTACCAACCGTGGGGCAACCCACAAGCCGACGGATGGCCTTCAGTCGAAATTGCAGTATCGACTTCAGTCACCAGGGTGGATGGGAACACCCATACATACCTACGGATAGGGCGAAGTTGCGAAACTCGAACGCTGATCGGCGGGCTCCCGTACAAGATACATCCATCCACAGCTTTGTTGCAGCCGCTGCATCTTTCGCTGCCAGTGGCCACGTGCGAAACAGCGGTCACTGGCACTGCCAATCCAATAGCACAATGGAACTGTCGTGGTTAGAGATGGGCGGGAAACAGGTATGGCGGTTCGCAAGTTCTCGTCCGCACTCCCCAGCGAATTCCGTCCTTTGTCGGAGTGCCGCCAACAGCTGCTGTTGGACCGTCTGCCGGCGGGCTCGGTTCATCAGTCTCTCAACGAATACATCTACTCCGTAGAGACCAACCAGCACCTTGGGCTAGGCAAGCGACCCTGCAGTGGAATAAGGTATCCGTAAGTAATAATGCACAGCCTGACTGGGCCTAGGGCGAAGCGGGAAGTTGCGAGCGCTGCATTGGGCTGGGCGCAGCAAACCATTCAGAACGGACGGAATCACAGGCCACCCGCCAACCCCGAGAGACAGATATTCCTCCGATGATCAGATCCAGTTCTATTGCTTCCCTGCGGCGGCCCTCTCCATGGGTACGGAGTAGCACCGCAACACACAGTCGATGGGCCGACCGCAAGCCGCCGGGAGAGGTCTAGCCCGTGGATCCTTCAAGGACTGGACGAGACGGTCATGGCCCCCCCCATTTCGCACACGATTGCTGTGCTCGAATATCCGTACTGGCCAGTGGCTAC